CTGGGAGTCCCCGGCTGAGAGTCGAGAGAGGTATAGAGCATCGTATTAATGAGATCAACAAGCACGACTCTTGCGATGGTACGCTTAACCCAACCAGCTTTTAAGGTTAAGCCGTTCCAGTGCGGCTTTGAACTTGGAAGTTTTTGGTCGATAGGCTACTCAACATGGGTTGAAACCCGAGTATACGTTCCAGCCGCCGAGATGTTACAGACTGGGCTCAACCGTTCGATTTCCAACTGCTAAAAGTAACATGGTGGGATAATGGGCCATTCGTCGCTCATCCATGGTTGGATTAAGAATATCAACTGATATACTCGCACACCCTTCGCTCAAGATTCATTACCTGAGACTTGTTGAATACGTTCTCTGTGCGAACTGGCGATGATTGGTGAGTAAGAGGAGGTGAAATGGACAATAACGGAGGTGCGTAGTGGCTGGAGGGCGGGCGAGTCAATGCACGCGGTTTGTCATATCTTTTAATCCGGTATGGTGTGGTGGCTAAGAGAGTGTACGCGTAAGCAATGGGTGGCAAAAATGTAGACAAATAGGCGAGAGCGGAAGAGCTCACTTCAATTCCTTGGACTTTCGCGAAAAAGACTCCGGTACGGGGGATCGAACCCCGAGCCGTCGCGATGATTTCACATGATATGAAAGGCGACAATGTTAGCCATTACACCATACCGGACGACTAACTACAAGGAACTTGCCTGATGCCTTCTTCGGTCAGTGATTTTGGCAAGCTTGTTAGCAGGTTGACGAAGAGTGTCGTGATTGTAAGTTCCATGCTCTGCCGTTTAGTTCGATGATGATCTCATTGAATCACACACACTAAACAGTTTTCATCTAGCGCTCTCTTAAACGTAGTCTGATCAAAAAATTGAAAAAGGGCAGTTATTTACAGGTTATTCGATCAAGGAATTGCCGGTGAAGTGAAAAATGCTAAGCATGCGCTCCAGCTGGGGCTCAACTCGCTCACGAGGAATCTGCGCAAATCGTGAGCCTAAACCGTAATAAACATTCATTTCTTACCTCGAATTCGTCGGCCAACTCGCGGAGATCGTCGGCATCCAGGGAGGCAAAATACTGCAGGTGCTGCTGACGGATCTGATCTCGTTGGCGTATGTCTAGTTCTTGTGCAGCCGGTTGACGCTTCCTGGCGGCCGCGTTGCGTTTCATGGCTTCGTCGTGGATAGCTTTCATGGCGATAAAACCTTTTTGATCCGCACAATCAGCCGACAAGCAATGTTTGCGCGTTTGTCGGACGTCTTTGAACCTGAATAGCCGTTAGCTGTGACCAAACAACCCATTCACGCACGTACTGTTTGTTTGGGCCGCATACACCTGGACATTTGAACTTGTCTTCGTGCTGCATATCAATCTCGAGGTCGTTCCATTCCGTGTGGAGGTTACGCCTATCTCGACTAAGAACTGAAAGTCGTGAAATAGGAGCAAGAGCGCACCTGTGCTTTCTCAAATTGGTCTCTGAAGTAAATGTTGCTGGCTCTGCGGTCGGGTCCAGACGCTGGCAGTTCTCGCAGACGTACTTGCCACCGTTTTTCTACCTATTCGTGAGTAAATGCATCTGGTACGAGCACAGTGCCTACCTCAAAATTCGCTTTGCATTCACGCTCAAACAGGACAGGAGCTGCAACTACACGCATCAACTCGGCGCGAACATCGCCCACAGACACATTGGTGATCTTCTCCGTCCCAACTTCTTTCCATGGCTCCGGAGGCTTGCCGTCCCGAAAGAGGTCGGCGTCTTCTTCAGGAATCTCCACATCGTCAGCAGCCTTGTCTAATATATCATCTACAAGGGCTTGGCTAACGTTGCTCGGAGCCTGGTTAACCATGCGGCCGATGCTAAAGTTGAGGGCCGCCCGGCAATCTTCGACAGCCTGCTCAGCTGGGGTATTGTCCTCCTCCCGGTTGATGGCCGCAACGTCGGATTGGGACTAGAGCGTTGTAAGAACTAGTCAAGGAGTGAATCAAACACGTACTAGCGTCTCAGCTTTGGAGGCGGTCTAAAATCAAAATGAGACGCAATCTGATGCTGAATCATTTTAGACTTGCCTTGATGGCTTGCGCGACCAGCGACGACTTCTCCTTGCTGTGCGCAACCGCCTGGTCCTTGTGTTGGTATGTGTCGATGTTTGATTTTGAAAAATCGCTAGCTATCTTCGACTTGGTTATCTTGGTTGCCTGACGAGAGACCCGTTGTGTCACGGTCACAAGAGCCTTGAATGCGTCGCGCACGTCAGACTCGTGCTGAGTGGGATGTCAGTTTTTGTTTGCCCCAGGAGAGAAACGTACCGTGCTGAGGCGCTGTTTCAAGTCTTCGTCCTGGATTTCTTCATAGAGCGGGTTGTTTGTAATTTTTGACATCATGTTCTGTTTCTTTTTTTGTTTTTTAGCGGCCCTGAACAGCGGGCTGCCGGGATCCAGAAGCTGGAGCCACCGATCCCAGCGTCGGTTGACTTCTTGCTGGGCAGCATGGACTTCAGAGTTATCCTAAGTCCTTATGAGTAGGAGCGATCAAGAGGAAAAAAATAAACTCACCTTTACCGCCTGCTTGCGCGCATCCTTGACCGTCTTTTTGTTCTTTTTCTCAAGCGAGGCAAGCGCAACGTTGCCAACCGAATCTTCGTTGTCTTCGTCGTCTTGCTCGTCTTGATCGTCTTGTCGTGTGCGAGGGCTGCGATCGCCTTTGAAACCAAGCAGATCGCGCTTCCGCTACGAAGCCGGAGCTCCAAACGACTCTGTACAAGGTTAGATACGAAACAAAGCTTAATATGATACTCACCTTGGTCCCCGGAAGAAACTGGTCCTCCGCCTCGCCGGTTCTAATCCCCAGCACATCTAGATTGCCGGGACCATAGCTGTACTTCTGAGTCAGGAGCGAATTCGAGTCCTTGTGCCCAAGTATTAGGCCGGCGGATTGGGGTCCGATTTTGTTGGAAAACTGGGAAACTCTTAGTTACGAGTTGGATAAAGAACAAATAGACTCACCTCATCTGCCGCTGTACGGCGAAGGTCATAAAAACGCAAAAAGGGCATGCTAATCTTGGTGACCATCCCCTTGACCTGGCCGCCAAACGCCCGGGCGTTTAATGGTATCGGCAGTAGTTCAGTTCCGCCAGGCTTGCATGCCACAAACCTACATCGCGTTAGTACACTATTGTTCAGATATTACAGTACACACAGAGGCGCATCAGGTGTGGTAATTCGCAGCTCGGCCTCCTCGGCGGAAATAAGGTCGTCCAAGGTCTGCACACACATGAGTTGTGAAAGTAAAAAGAGTAAAAATAACGCACTTCGTACTCGCCCAGCGCCCCTCGAAACCAGAGGTGCAGCACAATCCAAAAAGGATCAAACAAGA